CACACACACACACACACACACACACACACACACACACACACACTTCTAGCACCATAAAGATAATAACAGTCTGCATCTGCTTAAATAAAACTAGATTCACAACAACATTAAGTACATCTGAATTAAGCAGATGAATCTTTATTAAAGATAACATTTCTTGAAATTATTAAATATGTCACAATGCATGCATTTTTATCTACAAAAAAAGGCTGTCAAATAAATAAAACGAATGGTGCAGTTTATCTCTTTCAACATTTTCATATTTAAAGTCAGCCCAAACATGGATGAAACTTGTTCAGGTTTTAGTCCTTCAAATGCCAGTCATTCTGCTGTTACAAATCTGTGCAAATAAGTTTATTGATTGGGTTGATGCAGAGCTTATAAATGCAATGAACTGTGAAGGATGCTCCTGCTACAAGGCTCTGTATTTGATTCATGCTCAGTCTGTGTCCGTCTTGTTTTCTAGTGTCTGACATTCTGGTTCTTCTCCTTTTCTCTGTCCGCTGTGTTTCTGCCAACGCCAGCTCCCTTTCCAGTGTTGTTTTTGATCGGTTTGGGCATCACATCAGTGCTGGAGAATAATATCAACATAAAGATTAAAGAAAGAAGAAGACATAAAAATTAGGGGGCGGGGAACAGCACAAAAAGTCAGTAGGCATTCTTCAAAACAAAATCAGCAATGCATTTAGTTATGTATAGTTTTTCTAGATACCGCAAAGTTTTACCTTCGAAGCTGATGTGGTATGTTGTCTTTGATGAGGTTGTTGAGTTTATAATAATCCAGAAACGTTCGAGCCACATTACTGCCCAGCTTCATGTCTGAGGACACCGAGTTAAGATTATTTCTGTTTTGGCTATTACAAACCCCCCGAAATAGTTGCCACTTAACAAAAAGTAAAACACAGAGTGAAATTTGAAAGTGTCACTAAATCAGTATTTTATAAAAGCAATGGGACATGCAACATGGAATGACTAAGGGTACAAAGAATCTCACCCTAACTGAGCTGAAGGTTTTGAGCGACTGACATGATTGTTTCATATTTTCTTAATAATAATTTTTCCTTCCTAATTAAAATAAAAGATTCTTTAGTTAAGATCTTGTCACACCTAAGCTTTTTAGACAACTTATTCAAATTTTGTCCAAATATCTATGCTGAAGATGGAATTAAAAATATCCATAAATGAGTAATTTAGTCATAACAAAATATCCAAATGTTGGTGTAAGTTGTCTAAAATGTAGCTCCTTTAAACACTTTTGGTCATTTGTGAAACTCATCCAGCACCAAACATCATGAAGCACAAAACATTTTTTCTCCTTAGTTAAAATTTTGACATTAAACTGTTTTTAAACATGCTTTAATATAACAAGTCAGAATATGAGATGCTAGAATGGACTTTGTGTAAGGGTTATTTGGAAACACATAAAAATTTAATGAAGACACTAAAACTCTGTGATATTCCAAAACAGAAGAAAAAGAAAAACAAGATTTTAAAATACAAAGATATTTAAGATTTTGTAAACTTACATTAATGCCACATAAACATGCTAAAAAGGTTTTAAAAATACACCCTGTTTGTCCTCGCCAACAACCCCGGTGAGGAACAGTAAATAACTTCAGACAACACCTGAGAAATGAGCGTTGCAAATGTTCAGGTGACAACACACTACTGAATTAAGTTAGGCTAAATCAGCTGCATTTCACTCATGTCAGCCAAATGTATGATGCCAAAATGAAGCAGACAAAGCAATTACTTATATACTGAGGCCTGATTTAAATTCAGAGGTGGGTGCACACATCATCTCCCTGCTCAGCTGTTCTTTACTACATTAGGGACTTCATCAATAACTGTAACACTTTTATAAAACGTGCAACTGTCCACTTGGTGCTTTAGCTCAGCCGGAGAGCACGGCGAGTCAGGATGTCAGTCACTTTAAGATAACGGAGAACCGGTGTAAAAAATAAACGTCAACAATGTTTCCAATAAGCGGGAAAAACAATGAATACAGAAAGTTAAAAGTGAATTTCACAGAGTCAGACAATTATATCCCATCAATACGAGTGTTTATAATATGAGACGTACGAAGGTTTCTCCTGATCTCGTGCCATTGATGTTTCTCTGCTTCCATTCCTCACCGGTCTGGAGCTTGATGAAACAACACAGATACATAATCTGTCTTTTCTTTAATCATTACCTTGTTGATACTCAGATACATCCTGTCATCTGAGGAGTAATCCATCTGTCACGGCAGCGTGATTGAAACGACCGGAATACAGAAAAAAATGATCAATGCTACATGAACTCTAGTGGCTAAAAGAGTGAAAAACAATCGCCCTAAACTGGTTAACCACTCAGTTATAGTTCAAAGTGCGAGCACACTTCTAGCTTTATAGTTTGCCACGCGAGGTAAGGAACACACAAAGCTAACATTATAATTAGACATGTGAAGGAAGCCCCCGCAAAGAGAGAGAGAGAGAGTCACCTTTTGACCTTTAATGTAGAGCATGTCTGTATGTTCACAAGTCAGCACCAGACATCATTCCTTACACTGCAGGATGGTAGCAACACTCTCCACATGACTCCAGGCTGTAGTTTATACTCCATCTGGCTGTCTGTGAGCCCTGCATCAGGCCCAACCTGCGGGGAGTGTGTGTGTGTGTGTGTGTGTGTGTGTGAGACCGTTCCTCTGTCTCCAAACTTCTGTCTCCTGACACTTGGGTTGAGATAAAAACAACACAACCATAAAGATTTGAATTTTAAAACCTAATGTTTCAGCCAGGCAGCAACTTTACTTTTAGTTAAAAGTTGATGTCAGACTTTGTAATATAACCTTAAATCAATAAAACAATCGTTTAGTTAATATTTGTTATGCTGGAAGCTGTTAGACAGTTTTGTGGACCTGACTTGAATTGTTCCTGGACATGAATAGAATAGATGAATTGTTTTCCTGTGCTTTTAGATTTGACTTCTTTTTGTGTGTTCTACTCATTCATTTCACCATTTCTGTTTTAGTGTTTAATGTATATTTTTTTGCATTTGTTTTTATTTGTTTTGAATTAAAATTCATTTCTGTTGTAATTTTTACCTTATGACAGAGCTCAATAAAACTGAAGACAGGGACTTCTTAAAAGACTGTCTAAATTGTAGCAAATGCTACTTAATAAAATGTACATATTTAGCATCAATTAATGGGAAAGTCACAAATGTGCAATTCATCCATGTGCATTAATGCACATCATAAATGCTGCCTTTTGAACTTTTTGCTTATTAGAAACTTGTTAAAGCTGTTTTTCCTTTAAAGTAGGCATATCCTGCTTTTAAATTAGTTCATTTCACATTTAAATCAATCAATTAGGTCTAATAAAGTGGAACATTAACGCTGTAGTTTGAATTCCTTGTTATTGTAACCCCACAAGCCCCTCTTTCACACCTTTTTAGAGGCGTGTCTCACATCAACTTGTTTTGAGGCTGTCAGTTTTTATCCTGCGGTCCATTCTAGCATGCTATGTTCCCTTTAAGTCTAAATATGTGGTGTTAATGTTTTTTAATGATAAATTTCATTTCATTAGACCAGAGAATTTGGTGCCACTTTCGACCCTGATTGATAAAATTTATTTGTTTATTTATTTATTTATTTATTTAT